TTATAAACACAATGGCTAAATATACATATAAGTTAGTTACCATCAATTGAGTGCTAACAACTAACAAGAATATAAAACATTTATTTAAATTGAAAATGATAAAGTATGAATAATAATAGTAAAGTTAAAAATAGTAATAACTGTGGTTACGATAAATATTTAAAACTAAAAGAAATAAAACTATAACAAAGCATGATAAAAATTATAAATAAAATAAAGAAAAACAAAAAAGCATTATAAAAAAAATGAGAAAGTTTAATATTGTTACATGCACACACAAACACAAATATAAAGATATATACACATACTTACTCAATGCATAGATACACACATATTTGCACATAAATACACACGCGCCCGTACATGCACTCACATAGCTATGTGTACATTACATATACATTTTTTCAAATGTCTGTCAAACATAAAATTAACAACATTTAAATTGAAAAACATACGATGCAAACAAAATGAATTATACTCTACAATGCCCTACATTACACAAGAATACAAAAACAAAAAACAACAACAAAAAAGACAAACGTCCCTCAAAATTAATCTTCAAAAACGGAGCAATTTTTATATTTTATTTTAATTGCTTTTAATTACTTTTCATTTTCGAATGTTTTTTCTTTTAACTTTGGATTTTTGTCTTTTCTTTTTCTTTTCTCGTTTTTTTTAATGTTTTTTTTTTTTGTTAGTTTGTTTGATTTGGTTTTTTGTTTGTTTTTTGCTTTTTCATTTCCTTCTTTTTCCTTTCTTTACTTTCTTTATATTTATTTTTCTTATTTTCTTACTTTTTCTTTTTCTTTGACTTTCTTTTTTTTTTTTTATTCTTTAATTTATTTATAAAATCTTATAAAAAAGCGTCCGCCATTGCGGAAGTTTCTGCACTGTCTCAAAGCTAAAAGTATTAAATCGCCCGGAATTACAAAGGGTTTGCCGAAGTCTTCTAAAATCAAACAAAAATTATACATTAAATACTTAAAAACTAAAACAAATGAAAATAAAATTATATATAAAAATTACGCTAACCTTTTTTGATCGTCTAAAGAAATAACAACAACAACAAAAAAAAAATCACATAAATTTACTTGATAAATATAAATTAAATTCTAAACGCACGTGGTTTATAATAAGAGAAGTTACTGGCAGCAAAAAGTTCACATCACAGTCTCTTCCTAAAACAGTTAAATTTAATAATAATTTTTTATATCACAAGATGAGACTATAGCCCTTATGATGTATGCCTGTAGAAAAGTGCAACCTTTGATACTATTTTTATTAGACATTTAGATCAACTTTACCCTTCTGAATATCCTTAACGTAATACTATTAAATCTATATTATACGAATATAGCGCTTACGCGCGCAATCGAGAATTAGGAAATATTTTATTGGAAACTTTAATTGTGGAAATTTATTATAACAAACCTAAATCTTATTTTGAAAAGAAAACATTTAATATTAAGTTTTTGCTCAAAAAATTTGAAAATAAAATAAAATACCTGCTAAAAAAAGAACTCCTAATAATTAATTTTCAAAACACACAAGATAAGCACAGAGATGAAATTAGAAATATATTTGACATAAACGGAAACTTAAATTTAGTTGCAGACATAGGTAACTATTTTGAGTGATGTTTTTTTTTCGAAATTTTTATCTTCTGATGTTTTTTTCCTTTTTATGATTTTTCGTTTTTTCGATTAATCTTTTAATTTCGTTCTTTTGTTTTAATTTCGCTTTTATTAGTTTTCTTCGATTTTTTCGTTTTTTTGATAATTTATTTTTCTGTTTTTTTTTTGTTTTTTTTTTTATTTTTTTTATTTTTACGAATCTTTGTAAAACAGTTATATATTATGTGGTTTCTTTCAAGTATTTGTAAACACGATTTATTTTATATAACTACGATTTTGATCCTCCTTGGAGGAACGTCAAAAAGGCAATTAGCCGGCTGACGGTAAAAAGTATCGTATATATAACGCTCACTGATCTCATTTACCTTCGCGCACCTTGACTTTGCTGTACAAGTCTAGATTCCAAACTTAAAGTCCTTCATTCCATTCTCTAGCAAGTCCAACATTGACCTTATCAAGAAATATAAAATCATGCATCAAATTGAACTTGTCTTTCATCCGCAAAAATATTCAAATAGGTTAATCAAATATATCATGTAAGGATATGACAATAAATTAAAAGTTTTTTAAGACATAAAATTTATTGATTAACCCAAAAATGTAAAGTCACCCTGAATTACACAGTCTAAGAAAATCTTCAAAAGTCAAACAAAAATTATATATTCAATGCTTAAAAGCAGAAAAAATTAAAAGTAAAATTTTCTCCTATGCAACAGAATACAAATTATAACAGAATACAAATTATTTACAGTCTCTAAAAAAAATACTTTTTTTCAATTTTTTTAAAGAAATATAATTAAAATTAATGATGAAATCCTATACTATTCGGGTAAAGCAAAAACTGAACTAAACAAATTTTTGCTCTTGGTTGGACCTAATTAACAAGAAGCATTTCAAACATAGAAAAAAAACTAATGTCTTCTCTTTTGCATTAGTTAATTTTGATTCTTTTGAATTATCGTCTGTGAAACTTGATAGCTTTTAGTTGGCTAAAACCAGGCATGTGGAACCGAAATTTTATTTTACTGCTCGGCTCCGGCTTCGGCTTCTAAGAAATGTCCGTCTCCGGCTCGGCTTTGGCTCGCGTAATTTATGAACAAAGTTCGTAAATTTTAATTTTGAATTGGCGAGAAGAAGAGCAGCACTAGTCCATTTTTTGTTATTTTTCTTTTTCATAATTTCATTTAACTTATGTCGATCTCTTTATGTACTACAAAAATAATACTAGATTAGCTTTCTTTTATTCTTTTTTGTCATAAAGTAGATTGATAAATAGTTTATAAACTAAAACTGTTTAAAACTTAAACATTGATTATCTCGAAATGAAAATATTATTTAAAAAATTTGGCATATAAAATTCGCCGAATGGTCACACACGAGCAGTGAACACCTGAGGGAAGAAATGATGTACATTAGAATATAGGAGAATTATTTATTAGACAAAGCATATTTTGACAGTTGTCAAGACAAAAATAAAGATTAATAGAGGAATATTTAAAAATAAATAAGACAGGCTATACACCCACAACAATTATTACAATAAAAAGAAAAAGAAAAAGAAAAAAATTGTTTTATAAACACCAATATGAACGAAGATATACATCACCAGACAAAAACTTATAAAATAAAAAACCGATCACAAAATAAAAAATATGCTAACAACAATGAAAGGCATATAATTATGGAAAAAAAAACATTAATGCTAATGTGTAAACATAATTTGTGTAGTGATTAAGTAATAAACATCTCCTCAGAGTCGTGTTTATTATTACTGGCGTTTCGATGAGGATCAGCATTTATAACTAGTTTATCTCGTCAGACAAAAGTCATCGCCACTTATGCTTTACCCCGCGACTTTCGCCTATTCCATACTGCAGTAAAAAAGGACTCACTACAAATAGCCAATACCCAACCAACCCCAAATTTGTAAAGCACCAATATTTTTTGATGATATGATATCAAAAAGTGTAAATTAACTGACAAACAAAAATAAAAATTACTAAATAAAAAATTTACCATACCACCAAAAGAAAACATGAAAACAAAATAAATTAAAGTTCTAATAGAAACATAAAAAAACTCATAAATTTTTTTTAAGAAATAAAACCAAATAGGTATTATTAGCATAAACAAGCCTAAGATAATCAAACAGAAAGCAGTATACCTCATTAAAAAAAAAATTTTAATCAACAAAACAACAATAGCCTTAAATAAACTCTAACGCTGTCATAGATACCTCATTCGAAATATGACAACCAATCAAAAGTGTAGGAAAATGAGCAACCCGCGAAACCCAAAATTATAACAATAATTGAATAATATATGATAGCGAAAAAGAGCGTTGCACAAAAACCTTAAAAATGTAAGCGGCATATATGTAAACAATTAATGAAAGATATAAAAATATTCTCTGAATAAAAATAAAGATGAAAAATGTGCATGTGAAAATTAAAACAAAGCTGAGTAATGAATGCAACAACCAGTAATAATATGAAAATCAGGAGATAAATAATATATTAATAAATATTTCAATAAGACGAACTAAATATTGTAATAAAACCAGATAGTTTTAAGCCAAATGAGTGGTTAAAAATAGCTGTGGGTAATATGACAATGATATAAGTCGTGATGTAAAAACGATGTACAAAGCGGGAAAAAAACTATTAAAAGTGAAGTTTTCTCTACGGTCCGAACTAAAAGAAACTTTGAGACCATAACAAAATAACAAGGAAAAACATACATCATAAAAACATGTCGAAAGCCGCTAGTTTATAAGAATCGCTCTTATATATATATATATATATATATATATATATATATATATATATATATATATATATATATATATATATATATATATATATATATATATATATATATATATATATATATATATATATATATATATATATATATATACATATATATATATATATATATATATATATATATATATATATATATATATATATATAAATATACATATATATATATATATATATATATATATATATATATATATATATATATATATATATATATATATATATATATATATATATAGAGAATTTTTTTATGTTTTATGTTTGCCAGAAATAATGAATAATGATAGCTATTTAAAAAAATTTATAATAAATAACTTATAGTTATAATAAATAAAGTAAATTTATAAAATATTAATGCTCAGACGCTGACAAAACACAAATAAAAAGAAACGAATGCAAAAAAAAAGAAGTTTTATTATGATTTATTTATTTGATCTGTAAAATATCGACAAGTAAATATCGACAAGAGATTTGTAAATTATATATTGGAATGTATTCATGACCTTTATTGCAGATTAAGTTGAGTTTGTTTAAAACTTAATATTTCTTTACTAGAGTATAAGCAACAATCGTTTTTATAGTTTAAATTTTAAAAAATGAACGCACGAAAACTAAAACTTATTCGATTGATGTTATACTCCTTTTTAGAAAAACGAAATTCTAAATTAAGTTACAGATACCATTATGCAATGTATGTTTATTTTTTATTTTATAGTTTATTTTTCAATTTTAATAATGTTTATTTTTTTCATTTTATTGCCTTTAAATGGATCTATTACTTTTTTAAGAATTTGTATGTTGGAATAAATTAGCTGATATCTTTTTCTCATGACATAATAGCTAAAGGCTAATTTTAAATATAACATTAATGCCAAAAAATGTGAATATAACCAATGCAACTGCGCTAACTAATGCTTATTGCGGTGGCAAGTTAGCGCAAAACCATGCAAGTACGTGTAAGTAGGCAAACAAAAACAAGCAATACAAAATAAAATAAGATAAAATTATTTTTTTCCAATCCTAAATTGATGAATGGTGTCTAAAAATAAATTATGGTTATTTTTAAAAATGAAATAAAAAGCATCCCAACAAGTAAAAATTCCTTCTGTAAATACAAGACCAAAATAAAAACCAAACAAATACTATAAGATTTATAATTTCTTTTAAAACTCTTAAAATTTATAAACTCAAATTCAAAATAAAAATTAAAAAAATTTATAAACTCAAATTCAAAAATAAAACACATACTCGACGAGAACATTACATTCAAACATATAAGTTCACACATTCAAAATTCAAATGACAATAAGTTCACACATTCAACATTCAAACATATAAGTTCACACATACTAAGTGTGTAAGTAGTTATTTCAAACATATAAGTTCACACATACTAAGTGTGTAAGTAGTTATTTCAAACATATAAGTTCACACATACTAAGTGTGTAAGTAGTTATTTCAAACATATAAGTTCACACATACTAAGTGTGTAAGTAGTTATTACTTTATTACAGTGTAGCTTTTCGTTTATAATAAAAGACTTTTAAATTTAATAATAAAAATATATTAATATGATCAACTTTCCTAAAGAGAATTTAATAAATCAGAAACTAAATAAACAAATAAATTGAAACTAAACATCTATTTATTAAATACTAATATACCAGGACCGACGACACGGGTTTCGAAGTGGAGGAGTACAATCGTCAATTTCTAAAAAATGTCCTCTTTATCTAGAAATTTCCAAAAAAAAAATGGTCCTTTAAAAAAAACGAAATCCCTAATGATGTCAGCCCTGTATACTAAATACTACATAATAAAATTAAACTCCGTAAACAAATAACAAAAAAAATTATTTCCTCTCGTGAACGCTAAAAAATGCTTAGTCACGCTATAATCGCATTTAAAAGCGACCTGAATGAAACTGGAATTAATAAAATAATCGTATTTGTTTTTAAAGAGAATTAATGAAATAGTTGTATTTGTTTTTATTAATGAAATAATCGTGAAAATTAAATATTAAATAAAACTGGAATTAATGAAATATCATAATAGTATCTAATAATATTAATTACTTCTGTGACAGAGAGGTAATTAATATTAATACTGACAAATTCAGGATGAGTATCAATTGTATTACTTACGATTAAGTAATGATTATTGTAGATAAAAGTTACATTGCACTTAATACTTTTTAGAAAGCTTTTATTTTGAAAACAAAAGAAAATTACATTAAATTTACGTTCGATCATGTACGCAGACGCAAGCGCGCCAATTAAACTTGATGCGTTTGGATTGTTTTAATAATGTAGCACTTTGCTGGTTAAATATTAATATTTAATAAAATATTCAAATATCAACATTTATAATGGCGACAGCAAAATAATTCAAACGCTGTTTTCTTTTTTTTTAAATTTTTGAAAAATTATTTTAGTAGTCTATTTAATCAAATATGACTTGATTAATTATTATATTAAATGCAAATTATGATTATGTAAATTATGATTATGTAAATTATGACAAGGAAAGCAGTTTAAACTAAAATACGCTTTCAAAAAAAAAATTGTTTCGATATTCACTTTCATTTAATAATAATTTAAGTAGATTAGTTGTAATAGTTACAGCATAAAACAGTGTTTTCAATTATGCTTTAAACTATGTTTTAAACGCCTGGATATAGCAATCCTGATTAGCGCCCTTATTTATCAAATTTCCCTACATAATATATGAAGAACCTTTTCCTTTTTTAGGTGCCTACATTTCATTCAGCGCCCCTTGGATATCTGCGGCCTGGGATAAACTGTCCCGGGCGGCAGATATCCAACTGACCCCCTCTCAGCGGCCCTGAAAATCACTATGAATTTTTGTCCAGTAAAAATTTTTAATTTTTAAATTTTTTTGATTAAATCGTTTATTTCAGAAACCCGTCAAGTACGTCAGGTTTTGTTATTATAAAAGTTTTTGTAAGTACCCACTTACTTAGGAATCCTGTTTCCTTTTAATGTTTCCCCCTAGAAGCTTTATCTGAGTTAACAGTCTTCTTCTAAAAATATGGCCACCAAATATTGAAAGCAATTTTGAAAGAAGGAGACTGTTGCAATATCAGTAACTATCGCCCTATATCTATCCTTTCTACCTTTTCAAAAATCTTAGAGCGTATTATGTACAATAGAGTATACAATTATCTTGTCTCCAATAATCTTTTTTATTTTAATCAATTTGGTTTTATAAAAAATAATTCTACCGAACATGCAATCATCCAATTTGTACTAGAAATCTCAAATTCCTTTCAAAAATCCCAATATACATAAGGTGTTTTTATTGACTTGTCGAAGGCTTTTGATACTGTCGACCATGAAATTCTTCTTGAAAAACTAAAATACTACGGATTAAACTATATAACTATAAAATGGCTTCGTAGTTACTTATCAAACCGCAAACAATTTGTTTTTATTAATAACTATAACCAAAGCCATCTACTAAATATTTCCTGTGGTGTTCCCCAAGGCTCTATCTTGGGGCCATTTTTGTTCTTAATCTATATGAATGACTTAAATAAAGCCTCAAACTTAATTAGTATCATATTTGCCGACGACACCAACTTATTCCTGACCAATAATGACATATCCAAACTCTTTTCTACAATGAATGATGAACTCAAAAACATATCTACTTGGTTCAAATGTAACAAGTTAACTCTTAACATTAATAAAACCAAATGGGTTCTTTTCCATTCACTCTCAAAAAAACACTATTTACCCCAACATTTGCCCAAAATATTTATTGATAAAGTTGAAATAAAAAGAGATTTTGTTACTAAATTTTTAGGAGTGGTTCTCGACGAGAACATTACATGGAAACCGCATATAGAATATATCTGCTCAAAAATGTCTAAAAGTAACAGAGTCTTATATAAATCTAGATCATATTTAAACAAAAAAGCCTTAACCCAACTCTATTATTCATTTATTCACACCTATATTAATTATGCCAACATTGCGTAGAAAGCACCGAAAAAGTAAGCTAAAATGCCTTTTTCGCTGTCAGAAGCATGCGAGCCGATTGATTAATTTTGCGGATCGTTTTACTCATTCCAAACCATTATTTATGGAGATGAAAATACTTAATATTTACGAGCTCAATGTTTATAACATTTTATGCTTTGTTTACATGTGGAAAAACGATTTAACTTTACCTGTTTTTAAAAACGTTTTTTCTCTAAACCCAATTAATAAATATTTACTTAGAAATAATTAAATAAAAATTTTGTACATAAACCTATCTTTGGAATAAAATTGTTATACCTAATTTTGATATATCCAATACATTTCCGATCTTTAAAAGTAAACTTAAAAATTTTATTTTATCTATTGATGGTATATTTAAATACTTTTTATAACAATCACTTATTTGTCTTTTTAATTGTAAGACTGTTGTATTTTCTCTTGCCTTTTAAAAAAAGAGATGTATTACAGTATTTACTATGTATATATATGTATTTATATATTTACGTTTTTAAGAGATCTGATGATATGATCAGATTTTTTATTATATATAACATTAGTGGTTTGATTTATATTTCCAATTTATACCACGATTTATTGTAATTTTTTAGTTTTGTTAATGTATTGATTTTAAAAAACATGTAAAAGGTTCTGATGATAAGATCATTATGATCTTCTTTCAGAAGCCTTGTCTCTTTATCTTTGTAAACAACGACAAAAATGAAACAAAAAAAAAAAAAAAAAAAAAAAAGTAAAGCTCTTTGGTTTATTTGATTTAATAATCACCTTAGCACACTGATTTGTTAACAAAAAGGTAACTTCAATCGCAGCTTGCGCATAAAGAACACCTCCTGTACAGGTATGTATGTGTATGGAAAATTTTGCATTTAGTAAAAACAAAGTAATTCTGTAGTTTCATCTGCATTCTGGTTCATCTCCTTTTGTTTTATAAGAAACTTTTTGTCTCTTCGCTTATGTATAACTTGTTCAGCAACAAGCTGTGCTTTAAATTGTCTCTGAGACAAGATAATTTTGATTTAAAACTCTCACTTGCTGCAAAAATCAACTTGTAGCCGTTTTGCAGAAGTTTTTCTTATAACATAACATAAATTATAGTAAATTTTACTTATATCTTACACTAAATTTTACTTTTTATCTTAACTCAGAGTCGTCCGTTTGAAATATTAAAAACATTTTGGAAATATTCAACTCTAATCCAAATTTACCTGTAATGCACCATAACGTATTTCCGTCTCTTCAAATTTTAAAATTCGTTCGGTCAGTACACATAATTTGCGATTAATCGCATTTCCATTAAAATTTCTGTCATTCTTATTGACAGGTGTTTGATTCCGATCAATTCCGAGAAACACTCGAAAGAAACATCAAACTCGATAGAAACACTATGTATTTGTAAAAAAATATTTTTACAAGCTAGACGAAAATTACCGTTGATTTTTACGTTGTCCACAAATGTTTTACTTTTTGCCTGCAGAGTTTTTTTTTTTTTTTTTTTGCCATATAAATTTATTCAAATCATTAACCATAATATAAATACAAATATCAGGGGCAAGTAGAAGACGTTATTGGTCTTATCACCGACCCCCTTAGTCTATACCGTAAATATAAAACAACAAAAATTAAAAAACGTAACACTATATAATATAAAACGTTTTTCTAAAGACTC